TAAAGAGCAGAAAAAGGATCTAGCAAAGTCAGGCAACACCTAACAGAGTTATCCTTTTAGGTCAATAATGACCTTTTGTCCCAGGCTACACAAATTGGGGTTAGAGTGGTCACAAGCTGGAAATTTTGGAGTCACAAGCTCAGAAGTAGTTAGTTTCCTTTCACTCTTTCAGGTATTCTGCCTCTGCCCTCAGCCCTCATAGACGCCACCTCACTCTCACAATCCCTCAAAGCGGCTGTGCAAATTTTCAAGCCTCAAAATGATGCCACAGTGAAAACATTTGGGATGCATTGCTTTAGTCAGAAATCGATACACATGGATGCTTTACCTTTTCCCTGTTGAGGCACATTGTACACCTACTTTAATCCACAGGAATTGGATAGAGAATGCACCTTCACATAAAATTCCTTTTTTATTTAAACCCCGCTAAAGATATCGTTATCATTCGACAAGCTGGCATTTATTGACTGAGGGTAGTTAAGAATCAACCATGCTGCTATAGGTCTGGAGTCAGTTGTCCACCAGACAGGGTAAGGATGGGAATTTCCCTCCTTTAGGGCATTAGTGAACCAGATGGGTCTTTAGAACTGACAAAGGCTTACATGGTCACCAATAGGTTAGCTTTTCAATTCCAGATCTTTTAAAAATTAACTTCAAATTTCACCATCTGCCAAGGTGGCATTCAAACTCACATCCTCAGAACAGTAGCCCGAGATTCTGGATTACTAGTTCAGTGACTCTGCCACTAAGCACCTGCCACTCCCGTAACTTGCCAAAGTATAAACAGTTCTACAATGTGCTGTGCTTATCGCTGCTCTGACAGCAAGGGTGGTGTAGATTGTGAAAAAACATTCTTCCCCCCAGTGCACTCATAATCTCATTGTAAAAGCCTGTCAAAATGTACGCCCAAACAGGCAGGACCTCTGAGGGAAGAATAGCTGATCTGATAAAGCCCAGCTTCCTCAGTACTACAACACAATAAAATCCAAGATTACTGCACGTGGGACCCAAACTGACTACTTTCTGACTCAAGACAGGAGACTGCTGCCAACTGAACCAAACTGATCTTGTCTGAAGGAGGAGGAGCACAAATGTGGTTTTCATTTTAAACTCCCATGTGCTCTGTGCACATACAAAAACACAAATGTTAGGAACAGAAGTACGCCATTCAGCCCCTTGAATTACTGTCTCATAAGATTGTAGCTGATTGTGGCTCTAGTGATTGGACCCAAGGCCAGGTGGATCTCATTGACTACGAGATCCTTGACTGGGGCTGTTAACCCTGGGTCAATCAGGGAACCCTGGGTCAATCAGGGAACCCTGGCTGACAGATATAAACAGGAGATTCAGTCTAAGAACTAGCTGAGCTGGCTGGTCAGACCCCACATATAGGGCACAGGTAAATAAAGGGTAACTCAGTGACAGGATACCAGCCTCTGTGCAGTTACTTCAGGCTCCAACTTCAAATTTCCATCTCCCCCAATAACTTTGGATTCCTGATTGATATTGGAGTTAATCTACCTCGACCTTAGAAAAATTCAATGATCTGCCTCCATTGAGCTCTTGGGAAAACATTCCAAAGGCTCATGGCCCTCAGAAAAGATTCTCATTCTGTCTTAAATGTTCAATCCTTAATTTTGTGCTGAGTTGTACTTTACAACTACAAAAGGTCCCTGTGTCTCTCAACTCACAAGGGAACAAAAGTATCCCAGGATCTGGAACATAAACTCCACCTTAAAATGACTGTTGTTGTACAATGTGTGTTACTGACACTAGGTAAGAGTGATATCAGGTTCAATGCAGATTCTGTGCGTTTGACCAACATTCTCAGAACTCACTATATTTGCAAACAAGGAATGGCCAAAAGCTGCACGGTCACATGTCTAAAGTCCCACAGAAACCACATGTACTCACACAGCAAGCTGCATTACTGGCAGTCACTGACCTACAGTAACCTGCACTGCTGCAGAAGGAAGCAGCATGCTCTGTATTGTCCAGTGGGGCAATTTACTGTGTGTTGGTGCAGTTCAACTGGTGCAGAGCTGGCCTGCCAGGGATAAACAACATTGCATTTTAATGTAGGCAATTAATATTTAAAACATGAAGCTCAGTTGTGGAAACCTGGACTGTGGAATGCAAATAAATTCTTCAATGGATATTGTCCCAGATTTTTTTTTCTTAAAAACTGACTTACCCGCAAATGCAGTAATCATTCTTTGACACTTGATTCGACACACAGGACACATCTACTCAGAATGCACGTACAGGACGTACATGCACACAGAACACCGCATGCACACAGGACATACATGCACACGGGATTCATATGGACACAGGGAACCCACAAACACAGGACACTACATGCACAGATGCCATGCACATGGGACACATGCATATAGGACATGACGTGCTCACGGGACACACACACAGATACAGGACTCACACGGCCCCAGGGTTCCACAGCTGAACTTCATGTTTTAAATATTAATTGCCTACATTAAAATGCAATGTTGTTTATCCCTGGCAGGCCAACTCTGCACCAGTTGAACTGCACCAACACACAGTAAATTGCCCCACTTGACAATACAGAGCATGCTGCTTTCTTCTGCATCAGTGCAGGTTACTGTAGGTCAGTGATTGCCAGTAATGCAGCTTGCTGTGTGAGTACACGTGGCTTCTGTATTTAAGAAGAGGTTGTGCCTGTGCACACTGCCCATCAGGCAGTGACTTCAAGCCAAAGCTAATTCAGGGAGAGAAATGTATTTTTTGTTTGGCATAGTCCAGTGAGGGGATGCTCTTGCACTTCCTATCATGTGGAAAAGACTTGTACTGAGAGGTGCCATAAATATCAGCCCCCAGACTCATGGGTAAAACAGCTTAGAATCATAAAAGACTGAGACCAAATATCTGGTCCTCCTTGTGGACCCTGACAGGGATATCCAGTCAAATGCAACCACTAGCAGGTTAGAGACAGTGGTGTAGTGGTACATATTATTAGGCTCGCAAGGTCCAGGCTAATGCTCCAGTGATATAAGTTCAAGTCCCACTATGGCAGATGGAAAAGGTTAGGACTGCTCTCCTTGGGGAGAAGCATGCTGACAGGAGATCTGAAAGAAGTTTTCAAAATCACAAGTGAGAATGATTTGGTCGATAGAGACAAACTATTCCTGCTAGAAAAAGGAATGATAAGGCACAGATTTAAAGTGATGTGGAGATACAGTGAGGAATAAATGTTTTGAGGTTGGTTGGCTCGCTGAGCTGGTTTGTTGTTCTGTTTATAAACGTTTTCACACAGCGAGTAGTCAGAGTCTAGAATGCTCTGAAACAAAAACAGAAGTTGTTGCTGGACAAGGTCAGCAGGTCTGGCAGTATCCGTGAAGAAACAAAAATCAGAGTTAATGTTTCGGGTCCGATGACCCTTCCTCAGAACAGAACAGAACTGAACAGTTCTGAGGAAGGGTCACCAGACCCCAAACATTAACTCGGATTTCTCTCCACAGATGGTGCCAGACCTGCTGAGCTTTTCCAGCAACTTCTGTTTTCGTTCCTGATTTACGGCATCCGCGGTTCTTTCGGGTTTTATCTGGAATGCACGGCCTGGAACTGTGGTAGAGGCAGGTCCAATTGAGCCATCCAAGAGGAGCACTGGATGATTATTTGAATAGAAAGTGAGCAAGGGAACGGGGAGACTGGCATGAGGTAGTGATGCTTGTTTGAAGACGTGTGTTTGCAGGCACGGTGAATGAGCAGAAACTCTCAGGGCAGGCAGGAGGATGTGGCAGAAATTCAACTCCTCAACACCTAAAAGGAGAGAATCCTTACTCTGACCGTGCCCCAGCCCCTGGACTGAAGATCAGGGATTAACCTTGACTCACTGCAGTGGGGGTGGGGGCGTGTGGGGTTAGGGGGAGGAGGAGTAGTCGGACTGAAGGGTAGCTCCCTTGGCCACAAGGAGCGTGACTGTCCTCCAATTTTGACACATGGCCATTTGCTGGAAGCAAGTGCAGCACATCAGCTGTGCTGGCCCATGGTGCAGGTGTAACACCGACACCGCATGGTGCAGTGCACAGCCAGGTGGATGACTGCTGGTCACCACAACAAGCTGCTCATCTTCATTCTGTTTGCACTAAAAAGGCAGGCCAGGGCACGGATGCCATGAGCATCCACACAGACGTGCGAGGTGAGTGAGCCAGCGCCCAGAAAGCCAGTGAGCAGTGTCGAGATGCAGCCTGAGCTGGGCTCTTGCCGCTGCACGCCAAAATGTACTTGCAGCAGCATCGCAATTAGAAATGCTGCTGCATGTCAAACTGCAGCATTTCCGTGCCGAAGCTACTTGCACATGGATCAGAGATGTGCTGTGATGGTGCAGTGAGGTCTGCAGATGTAGACCCTTCACATGGAGCATCCCTGATGACACTGGCACCCTGTGGTAGGATGGGAACTTACATGTTAACAAGTTGAGATTCAGGCAAAGAAGCATAATACGAAGCAATAATCTCTTAATAGGTTCTCACCATTCCCAAGTAAGAATCTCATCTCAATGCCTGAAACTCTGTTGGAAAATAGAACTTCTTGCTCCTTCAGTCAAGGAGAAAGGCCTTGTTAAAATTCTCACACAATTCTCACCATTGCCCACATCATTCAGGTCCTCAAAATTCCCACCAGCAACTTCGTTCATTGCAAGAAGACTCCTGCAGTTAGACCAGGAAGTGGTTTTCCTCTACCAAGGCTGGAACCAGCAGCTCCTGTCATTTCCTATACTGAAGGTGGCAAGCACTCAACCAGCTCAGTAACCAACATGGCCCAACCACATTCCCCTTTGTACAAAATCAAAGCTTTTACCAAGTCGCACATCGATGTGCAACTGGGCTGCAAACTGCAGTATTGCCTTGAAAGGAATATTTCTTCATTATAACATCATGAAAATCAGGAACACTTATTGCGCATGCCTTCCTGAACAGTAGCACCTTAAAATAAGTGATCACATGAGAGGGCATTACCTTGGTGCAGGGCTCTCGTCACAAATAAGCCAGACCCAGCAAGGCACAACATCTTCCTTCCATTGACGGACATCAGTTGAATTATTTCAGTCTCATTCACATCTTCGGAGAGCTTCAGAGTAGTCACCCACCATACCTTCCTCAGAACATCACTCTCCATCGAGGCTATTGGACAACTAAATTGGGCAGGGAGCAAAACTGGTACTCAATCTGATTCATCAATTTCCTTCAAGGTCTGAAAGGGTATTTCTTCGGGGTTTAATCATAGTTCTGATGTAGGAAATGGGGCAGTCATTTGCTCACAGCAAACTCGTATTCGCAGCTATGTGACAATGGCATATTTGCATCAATGGTAGACAGGGTGGTTAATAAGGAGTTTAACACGCTTGCCTTCATTGCTCAGTCCTTTGAGTATAGGAGTTGGGACGTCATGTTGAGTTTGTACAGGACATTGGTGAGGCTTCTGCTGGAGTACTGTGTCCCGTTCTGGGTATAGGAAGGATATTATTAAACTGGAGAGGGTTCAGAAGAGATTTACCAGGATGTTGTTGGGAATGGAGGGTTTGAGTTATAAGGAGAGGCTGGATAGGCTGGGATTTTTTTTCACCGAGGGGTAGGAGGTTGAAGGGTGTCGTTACAGAGGTTTATAAAATCATAATAGGTATATATAAGGTGAATGGCTGGAGTCGCTTCCCTAGGGTGGGGGATTTCAAGACTAGGGGGCATATTTTTAAAGGTGAGAGGAGAAAGATTTAAAAAAGACATGAGGGGCAACATTTTTCAGTTTACACAGAGCATGGTTCGTGCATGGAATGAACTACCAGAGGAAGTGGTGGATAAGGGTATAGTTACATTTAAAAGACATTTAGATAAGTACGTGAATAAGAAATGTGCGAAGGGATATGGGCCAAGCGCAGGCAGGTGGGACTAGTTTAATTTGGGATTATGGTCAGCATGGACTAGATTGGACTGAAGGGTCTGTTTCTGTGCTGTACGACTCTGACTCTAAATGACTTCTCTACATCACAACCATGATAAGCTAACCTGATAGTCTGTTTCATTTCCTGGGTGATGGAGACACGTTGGCCAGGATACAAGGGAAAAGCTCCCTCTGCATTTTCCCCAAGGGACTGTCACTGGATCCATTAGATCAATATGAATGGACAGACAGCCACAGTTGAACATGAGAAAGAAGGAGATCATTCAGCCCATTATGTTCTCGATATCCAAGACAAATTATACCTCCAGTTCTTGATGTAAAGCACCAAAGATACAACTTCAAGCGTACATCCAAAGTCTTCTTCAATGCAACAAGCACTATGAGCCATAGAGCTTGCTCCAGCTGACCGAATGATCAGGACAGATCTTGTGCTTCAACCTACCTTGCTGCCCACTGCCCATTTCTCTTGATTCCCTGAGACACAAAATCAAAATCAGTCTATCCCAGACTCAAAAGATATTCAATGATGTAGCAGCCAAAGATTTCTGGGATAGAGTATTCGAACAATTCACAGGCCGTTGAGCGAAGTCATTTCGTCTCACCTCAGTCCTAAAGGATCAGCCCCTTATCCTGAGACTCTGTCCTTGTGTTCTAGGTTCTTTGACCAGCAGAAGCAATCTCTGAGCCTCTACCCTGTCAAGATCCCACCCCCAGAATCATCTATGTCTCAAATGAGATTTAATTCCATTTGCTACTTTCCTACCGACCTGTCCAGTCTACTGATGTCTTTCAAGCAATCTACAGTTTTCATCCTTCCCATCAGCCACGACTAATTTTTGTATCATTGTCAAAATTCATACCCCTTACATTTAGTTTCAAGTCATTGATAAACACCATGAAAAGAAAGAGACCCAGGACTGAGCCCTGAACACCACGAAATCCAGCTGCAACAACATTCACTGACCCATCGTTTCCTGTCACTGAGCCAATTATGGATTTAACTTGCTAATTTCCCTGAACCCCAAGTATTCCTCATTCATGGGATATGGGCATTATTGGCTGGGTCAACATTTATCACCGGTCCCCAATTGCCCCTGAGAAGCGGGGTGGGGGGGGTGTGTGAACTGCCTTCTTGAACCACTGCAGTGCGCTTCCTGTGGGTTGACCCACAATGCCATCAGGGAGGGAATTCCAGGATTGTGACCCTCTAGCAATGATGGGACGGCGATATATTTCCAAGTCGGGATGGTGGGTGGAGGGAACTTGCAAATGGCACCGTTTCTGGTGCCCTTATCCTTCTGAGTGCCATAAGGAACTTTTGCACAATCCTTGCTAAAATCCATCAGGCCACATCAAAGGAACTGCCCTCTGCATCCCTCCCTGATACTTCCATCTTGTTTGATGTGACCTTCTCCAAGCAAATCTGTCCCAACCATCTTTGATTAATCCATCTCTCTTTAAATAATAATTTATACGTCTCAGAACTTTTCCAATTATTTGCTGATGTTAGGCAGACCAGCCTGTACATGTGTTATCCCTTTCTCCATTCTTAAACAACTCAATATTAGCAATTTTCCAGTCATGAAGTCAGAGTCATACAGCATGGAAACAGACCCTTTGGTTGAACCAGTCTACACCATTCATAATCCCAAACTAAACTGGTCCCACCTGCCTGTGCTTGGGCTATATTCCTCCAAACCCTTCTTATTCATAAACTTATCTAAAATGAGGTTGTTGACTTGCTCGCCGAGCTGGCTTCTTATTGTTCAGATTTTTCGTCACCATACCAGGTGACATCATCAGTGGAGCGTCCGAAGAAGCAGTATTATTCTCCTCCACTTAGAATTTATACTGTTTGGTCCGTTATGGTGATGAGTGTCATTTATGGTTTTGATCTGTATGGGTTTGTATATGGGGTTCAATTCTATGTGTTTGTTGATTGCATTATGGGTGGAGAACCATGCCTCTAGGAATTCCCGTGCATATATATTTGGCTTGGGCTACTATGGTTTCTTTGTCCCAGTTAAACTGATGGCCTTCATTGCCCGAGTGTACCGATAATAAGGAGAGTTTGTCATGCCATTTTGATGCTAATTGATGCTCATATATTCTGATGGCTAGTCTCCTTCCTGCCTGTCCGATATGATGTTTGAGGCAGTCGTTACATGGCATTTTGTAAACTACGTTGGTTCTGCATGTTGTGGGAATGGAGTCTTTAATCCTTGTACATGTTTGTTGTAGAGCGGCTGTGGGCTTGTGGGCCACCATGATTCCTAGTGGTTTTAGAAGTGTTGTTGTCAGTTCCGATACGTTCTTGATGTATGGCAGTGTGGCCAGTGTGTTAGGCGAACTGTGTCCTCCTGTTGTTGTCTGTTTAGTAGGCATCTGCGGATGAAGTTGCGGGGATATCCGTTTATAGCGAGGATTTTGTATAGGTGATCTTCCTCTTTCCTGCAAAGTTCTGGGGTGTTACAGTGTCCTGGTCCATTTAAATAGTGCCCGAATGCAGCTTTGTTTAGGGCGTTGGATGGTTGCTATGGTAGGCGAAAATTTAATCAGTGTGGGTTGATTTTCTGTATACTGAGGTTGGAACTCCCCGTTGGCCATATGCTCAACTTTAACACCCAGAAACAGACAGACAATCAACTTCCTGAGCCTGAAGGATTCATGAAAGGACCATAAAAAAGCAAATTAGCTTTCATTTTGGGTGTTATCAGCTGACGATTATGCTTGACATCCAAGGTTTTTCTGATGATCTCAGTATGAAATGAAATTATGGTTGCAAAGCCACAAATTCTGCAATTGGAGAATGCACTTCTGGAAAAATGGAAAGCTTTCAGACAACACAAATTTGGCAAACAAACACTATGCTATTTCCAGTAATAAGCTGACATCTTATTGTAAAACACTATTGCATTAGACTAAATACTCTCTCACGCCAACAATTCCTATTGCAAGAGACTGCTTATTATCTTACTTAGAAATATTAATTCTGGCTGATGACGCAGTCCAGGAGCAAAACAAGATGACTGCTTCATTCATTTATCCTCCATTTCAAAAGTCAACTCATGGGTAGCAATTTTTTTTAAAAATTGCTATCTATACAGTTCTTGATGGAAATGCATGGAAATCTCAAAGAGATAAAGGGAAGAAACGAACTGTATTTATTTCACCTCAACACAATGGAATTCACCATAGTAATAGAAATGAGGAGAAACTGGATTTCCCATTGGTGTTCGGTTCATCACCAAAATACAATGCAACAATACACAGTAGGGAGGGTTTGGAGCACAGAAACACATCATTCAATCCACTAGTCCCTGTTGGTGTTTATGTTCCATGCAAGATTCAGCCAACATCTTGTCATTTAATCCTACCAGAATTTTCAGCAAGGATTTTCTTCATGTGCTTATTTAGCTTTCCCTCAAGTCTATTTGCATCTCAAACTATGACGAGACAGAATACAGGAAAGAGATAGAGTGCTTAAGTGACATGGTGTAAAGACAACAGTCTCTCCACCAACGTCAGCAAAACAAAGGATCTAGTCACTGACATCAGGAAGTGGAGTAGAAGTCGAGAGCATCAGGTTCCTAGGAGCGATGATCACCAACAATCTGTCCTGGACCACCCACATTGACACTATGCACAAAAAAATCACGGCAACGTCTCTACTTCCTTAGGAGGCTAAGGAAATTCTGCATGTCCACAAGAACTCTTACCATTTTTAACTGATACACCACAAAAAGCATCCTATCTGGATGTATTACAGCTTTGTATGGCAACTGCTCCTCCTAAGTCTGCAAGAAACTACAGACAGTTGTGAACACAGCCCAGTTCATCACACAAACCAGCCTTCCATCCATTGACTCCACCTATACTTCCTACTGCCTCGGAAAAGCAACCAACATAATCAAAGACCCCTCCCACCCCGGTTATATTCTCCTTCATCAGGCAGAAAATATAAAAGTTTCAATACACATACGAACAGATTCAAGAACAGTTTCTTTCCTGCTGTT